CATTTCGAACAGATGATGTATTTATTTCATACCAGCTTTGTAAATTCTAATCTTAGAAGCTCATGATTTGTACTACCAGTCCTTGGGGACATATATTAGAGTCAGTTAATTATTAATTGAATCAGATTGTTGTTATTTGGCTTACCTAGCGTGTGAGGTTGGGTTCCATCACAACTAGTTAGATTTTGGGTTGTGACAAATTGGTATCAGAGCCAGGTTCATAGGTTCTACAAGTCATGAGAAAATGTCTAGTAGATTCTTGCGGATCAGTATGATGACGTCCATACTTATATTCGAGATGATGCAAGGCATTTAGGATACACTTCCCATCTTTCTTTCCTTATCGCGCTGTATCGATTCAGCTTGACGCATAATTCTTTGAATTCCTTCCACGCATTCGTGTGCGCATGTGAGCGCTTATTATTAGCTATACATCGACTACTTGTGATTCCATGAACGAGGTTTGAGATGTGTATTCTATGTTTTGGTAATGGGCCAGTCTGGAAGACTTGAGGCCAGGTTTAGACCGCAACTTAGGCTCGGTAGCTTCAGTTGTAACTTGTATATTTGGACTCATATGTCTGGTGGCGTCCCTATGAGTGGAATTTGTGGCTCGATGAGTGGTGAAATGACTATATGATAAGTATGATGTGACTGCGAGACGTGTTCAGGTCATTTGAATGTGATGAGAAGAGTTTCTCCAGATGTAAAAAAAAAGGCCATTGGGTGCTTGATTTCCGTCTTGATTTGATGTATAGTCTCAAGTTATGAGTGTGTTGAAGGATCTTTCATGTTGTTAAATTGTGGGACAAATTAAATTCTCATGTCTTGTTAATGAGTTTGGACTCATAAAGATTAAGTGATTGTGTAGTAATTGTGCCTGCGAAAGGGTATCACAAGATGCCAATTTGAGGCTAAGCAGGTGGGTTATCTCCTGCGGAGTAATCTACGTAGGTGTGTTCCTTATAATGTTGAGTGGAGCGTTTCTTTCATATCAGTGGGTGGTACGTGTTGACATTTGAATTTGAATCTGGTTGAGAAAGTTGACTTAGCTATCAAGAGAATGAATGCGGGTTTAGCGGATGATTGAGGTGTTTTACAGTTGGTGTTGCATGAGCTTGAGAAGAATTTTTGTTGAACTGACTGCGGTGTTATGGCAGTAATAAAGTATAGGTATTGTGAGTTATCGAGTGTTTTAATCTATGGCTTTGAGTCAAGTGGGGGAGCCTGCTATTGACAATTCAATTTTATAGTTATATGTTAAATTTTAGTTTTGGTTTGAGACATACTTGTGGATCAGTTATGACTGCAGAGGTTGAGATCGGGGATGACTCGACCAAGGAAATTCCTGAATACGAGTTATATTATACTTTATGAAAATATAAAAATCATGGAATGATTAAGTTGTTATTTGAAGGATATAGTGCGCACGCAGTATGAATTTGATTGGTGGTGTTAAAGCAGGGTTACTCCTTTGAGTATTGTTGTGCTAATGGGGCACGTGTCTTTCGGCCCGTTTGGGCAGTACAATTTAGATTTGGGCAGAGTAGATGATTCTCGAGAGGGTTCTAATGGATTTAAAATGTATATGTGGAAATTGAATTTTTTTTCAAATTCGTATATCGCTAGAATCAGTTATTTATATTGGATGGTGTCGAGACTTGCAATAATTCTGTATGACTATGGATCATACATTTCAGTATAAGAAAGGACAAATGAACGATTTTAAATTCACAAAAGGTATTTTCAGAGTGGGTGTTTCGGTTGGGGTATTTATGAGGGGTAATTATGATGTGGTGAGACTTTACAGATATTTGGTGGCAATATTCTTGGGTTTGGTAACCTGTGTGGCTTGGTAGAGTTAGGGAAATTCAACTCTAATAGCTTGGTTATGTGCAAATGGATTTCAAAGTGTTCTTGATAGTTTCTACCATGGTTATAACCAGATATTTTCTACCGGTGTGAAAAACGTGCTGTGTATTGTGATTTCATCCTGGAATGAAACAAGAGAAATGTTTCTAACTAGCCGGGTATATAATTTGCTGGTGACTCAGAGTTCATAATGAGATTCTTGTGCTTTTCACATGATGGCATGATAGATGTGGTGTGTTGTGTGGGATTAAGATTTACATGTACAAGGTGGCAGTTCAGTCTTGAAGGGAAGGTCACGAATTGGAAAGAATGGTCAGTTTTAGATATTTAGAGAAATATTATAACTGCTCAGTAATCCCTGAGAAGGGTTCGCATTTCAAAAGGCCCATTGTGTTTTGACTTTCGGATGTTCATCGTTATTGCGGTACTCACCTGGTTGATAGACTGTTGATATTTTAATTATTGCTATGTGGCACAGAAAAGTTTTGGAAGAATTCCTTGTGGGATGATTGTGCATGAAAGATGTGTTAGTCCTTCGAGTGCTAGAGTTGGGACCAATTACGGTGATTCATGTGTTCTATGAATTTGGAGACTGAGAGTTCTCAGAAGCATATTGTTTCAGGATTGCGACCTGTTTGAGGTGAGTATTTTATTTAAACTCAGTGGAGGCACTAGTTGCACTAACTATTTGTGACAGCTACGCGCTACGAGTGCGTATATATATGAGGTTTGAGCCCATGTGTGAGCATCGGGGCAAGTATTCATACTCGGAAGAATGCTTAGGCTATGATATGCCTAGAGTTGACTGTTAAGCGTAAAGTTATAACGTTTCTTGTATTCATACCTTTGTTGAGAACTATCTGGGCTATACTTGAGGTTACAAAGAGGCTAATTCCTTGAATAAACTGGGTAGTTACTATTTCTGCGTTAACTTACCGATTTGCGTTGTGATAGCACACTTTGCACATGCCTACTCTATGGCGTATTAATTATACCAGTCCAGGAGAATGTGAATCTTATTTCATGTATCATATATATGTATACTTAATTGATTGCTCATGTATGATATGCTTGGACTGGAGGCCTGTGAACATGCCAGGCGGATTATGTTATTGGCACGCGAGTTGTCCGTGCAGATCCATATACTGATATTATTTTCACGTGAGTTGTCCGTGCGGGTCCAGATATTGATACTATAGCACGTGAGTTATCTGTACAGTTGATATTAATGTGAGCTCTAGGAGAGTTGATTACTGTTATTAGATTCGTATGTCTTGTTTCTACTATATATGATAAGCTCATAGCATTGCGGTTGCGGTGGTGCTTATTGAACTTGCAATACAGTTCTCTTCTTTGAGACATTTTCCATTTCTGGGTATACAGATTGCGCAATTGTGGCTTGAGTTATATTGGTGTGGCATGTATGCGGAATAGTTGTGTTTGATAATATAAGGTCATCGGACCTAGAATGTGTACTATCGGAATTGATTACGGTATATTTGGGAGGATGATATCGAAAGTCGGCTTAGAAAGTGATTATGGTTCTGGTTGGGACGAGAGTGCTCCATGACTACACTACTAGAAAATAAACCTATTACATCGGTTATTTAACAACGGTTACGTAACCCTTGCAATAGATGGTCTATTGCAAGGGTTACAATCGTCGCAATATCCTCTTGAGATTAAGACAGTACTAAAACTAAACCGCAGCAGTAGTACCATAACCGTTGCCACATACCTGTCTATGGAGACAGTTTGGTAAAATAACTCTGTGGGGAGGGTTCTTTGTAAAAAAGAGGATTTAATTTCCCTCCAATTATTTCACTAAACCCGCGAATGCTCCTTTTTATAATTAAAAAATAATTCCAAAATCAAAAACTACACGTATCAAACTAAAAGAGGGGTCTTCTTACATCTTTTCTATTAATTGAGAAAAAAAACCCTTCAGTGAAGGCTTCTTCAAGAGGAAAGAATCCTCCACATCCAGCGAAGGATTTCAACCAAGTCTACATGTTGCTCTCTACCATAATAGGTCTACATGATTCTCTCTCCTCCATGGCTTATAAGTTCCCTATCTCTAGATTTTTCATTCAAGTATTTTTGGAAAGCTTACAAAATACACAAATGGGTTTCTATGAAGTTACTGTCTGTTGTTCTAATTTATGTTTGGTTTTTTATTTTAGTGTGGTTTAAAGTTTGTATCTCAAATTTGGTGAAGATTTGAGTTTTCGGTGAAAAAATCTATGATACAAAATTAAAGAAGATTGCTTAAATATTGGGTTTTAGTAAAATTGGCGTTTGAGAAACTGAGTTTCAATTCTTTGAGCCAAAATTTTATTCGAAATTGATTTTGTACTGAATATTGAGTTTACTGATGTTTGGGAGGAATTAAAGTGACAAATACCCTTTAAAACTCCATTGTTGAGGTCGACAAAGTTCTAAAACTTAAATAGAGAAATTCAAAGTTGGGAGAGTTGGAGAAAATTGCTGTATATATATGAGAATTTTACTTTTTTTGTTGGTTTTCTGGTTGTTTGGCTCTTGCGTTCTAAAATGGGTGTTGAGGGGTAAGTTTGAGAAATATACTGTATGTGTATTTTCTCGTAGAACTGTTCTATGTGGAAGGAAATATTATATTTGCTTATCTTAATGATTAGTGTGATTGGAGAAGAGAAAAGTATGTTAATGTTAATCTTATTAGTGTTAATTTTAAACCTATGGCTACAACTTTGTGTATGAAAATGCTATTCTTTTTCTCATAACAAAGAATGAACAAGTTTTAGGTATGGATGTAGTTTTTGTCCTCTACTCAATTCTTGATTTACACTGTGATTAGTAGTGGCCTTAATATGGAAAATAGTTCATGGAAGTAGGATGAGGAAGAAATTATTAGCTGATGTGATACGTACATTATGGCATTTTTATGTATTAATATTAATTTTTAATTGTGAACTAGAAATTTTAAGGCCTCGAAATGAGTGAAGTTGAACTTCTATTGTGCTTTTAATAGAGAAAGAGATACTAAACAAACATTTATCTAGGGATTACAGACAAGCTAAGGAAATGTCATATGGTATTTCTTGAAATAAAAATATTCTACACCCATTTTCTTCACATCAAATATTACTTCAATCTGCTATTAATCTTAATGCTCTTGGTAATGCAGAAACATCAGCAGCCTGTTGTTTTTTGTTAATGTTATAAGCCTGCATCTTGTTTTGGTATTCAGCCATCATTTCCTCTACCTTTGCTTGATAAGGAGATTTCTCTGCATCTGAAAAGGATTTCCACTTCTCTCCGGCAGCTTTACCCACAGCAGCAACAAATTTGTTGTTTGGATGTTTTTCTTTGTACTGTTTCCTGAACTCTTCCATAAAAATGAAGAAAGCAATTGTAGGCCTCTTTGGCTTATTAGTCTCTTCAGCCCTACTCTTCTCAACCTTGGATTCATTACCTCCTATAGTATTCAATTGTCTAATTGTTTATAAGTGCATATAATTGGTACTACTTCTATGTTACTACATGGGTGATTGGATTTTATCTCCATATTGTACAAAGGACTGTGAGAAGTTTAGTTTTTTCTATACTTCAATCTGTTTTGTGTCTCTATCTTACTCTTACCGACCAAAAATAACCAAAATAAATCTTCTTAAATCATGCTACTTTATTACTATTTTAAATTTTGACTGATGAATTATATTACTTTTAAAAAGTAACTGATTATGTATTCTCAAATTTTTGCAGCTCGTTGAAAATGGTATTGTCGTAATATTCAATATCATAGTGTGTAGATGATACTATGTGAATAGCCTTCAAGCTTCATCATCTCTTCAAGCTAGTGTGTAGAATTTTCAACTAGTTTCTTGTCATCTGAATTGGCATTTTTGGTGAACTTGAAGGAGCCTCTATCAATTCAGGTAACTTGACGTTGTCTACATGGATCTTATTTCTTATTCTTGAAAATTCTCATATATTTTCCTTGATATATTTTGTGACTTACTAGTTTGGCTATGTCACATTATTGATGAAAGGTATATGTGTAGAGGTGGTAATTCGTACTCCACAAATTGTCTTACTTTGTTGGTAAAAAATATGTGGAAATGTTGTAGTTTTTATATGGTACTTGTATTAAGTTGTTTGTAAAAGGTGTATAAATTATTGTTGTTTGTATATAGAAATGAGGGAAAATTGTTTTTATTTTTCTTGCCATGACACAAGCAATCTGAATTTTTTTAACAGATGCAAATGTAATAGTATAAGCTTTTGCAAGAATTTACTTCAGAAAACTTTACAACTCAAGTGATCAGATTATCATAATATTAGTAATAACATGTTATAAAAAAGATGTATTTATAATGTATTTTTGTATCTTTTTTTAACTGATGCATATATTTTTAGATGGTTTGATCAGTCCTAAAGTTTGGTAATTTTATAAAATCCTCCTGCAAAAAGGTCCCAAAGTTTGGTAATTTTCTAGTATTAAATGGTTGACTGAATGAAATGGATGACTGAATGAATACTGGCAATATTGTGGAGTTGGATATGAATCAAGGTGTGTGTATTACCTTTGGTGGTACAATAGCATACTTGAATACTACAATTGTGGCTTACTGGAACATGGATTACTAATTGTTGATTTACTTTTGTGTCTCATAGGATATTCAATGAGTAATGGAGATAAAAGTTGGATGAGTCTTCGAAGATCCACTGATGAGTATATTCGTGGTGTGAATGATTTTCTTGATAAAACGTTTGAACGATCTTCCCAAGGAAATGAAATATTATGCCCCTATAAAAAATGCTTTAATCGTTATTGGCATTATAGAAATATGGTAGAGGATCACTTAGTTGCTTATGGGTTTACATATGGATACACCAAATGGATTTTTCACGGAGAAGGGTTTTCCTCGAGAGATTTGCGACATCCAACCAATGATGATGATGGTTACCATATGCATGACGATATTGATGGTCTGCTTCATGATACTTTTAGAAATGTAGAAAGTGACTTGAGCCATGAAAGAGTGAGAGAGGGACCATCTGAAGATGCAACGAGATTTTTAAAATTAGTGGAGGAAGGAAAATAAGAGTTATATCTAGGGTGTGAAAATTTCTCTAAACTGGATTTTACCATTCGGTTGTTCTTGTTTAAATGCATTCATGGTTTGAGTAATGTGGCATTTTCAGACTTGTTAGACTTGATGAAAAATGCATTTCCATTTGCTAAGTTACCTGAGTCTTTTCATAAGGCAAAAAATATGATAAAAGATTTGGGTCTTTATTATGAGAAAATACATGCATGCCCTAACGATTGTATGTTATTTTGGAATGAGAATGAGAAGACAAATAATTGCTCTGTGTGTGGATTTTCTAGATGGAATAATGTGCGTGATGGCTTGACTAATAGGAACACCAAAGTTGCCGCAAAGGTTTTAAGATACTTTCTTTTAAAGTCTAGGCTTCAGAGGATATTCATGTGTTCTGAAACAGCTGTAGCTATGAGATGGCATGCTACTGAACGATCCAAAGATAGAAATATAAGACATCATGCTGATGGGGAAGCTTGGAAGGATTTTGACTTGTTTCACCCGGACCTCTCTAAAGATCCTCGTAATGTTAGATTGGGTCTTTTAAGCGATGGTTTTAACCCATTTCGAACCATGAGCATTTCTCATAGTACATGGCCAGTCATGTTAAAGAACTATAATTTATCACCATGGATTTGCATGAAGTCAGAGTATATAATATTGTCAATTATCATTCCAGGTCCATCATCTCCAGGAAAGGATATAGATGTGTACCTACAACCACTAATTGCTGAGTTGAAGGAACTGTGGGAAATAGGAGTAGAAACATATGATGCTGAAATTAACCAAACATTTCTAATGCATGCAGCCTTATTGTGGACAGTTAGTGATTTTTCAGCATTATCAATGCTTTCTGGATGGAGCGCCGAGGGGAGACGGGCATGCCCCACTTGTAATTATGATACTTGCTCTCAATATCTCAAACATAGTCGTAAGATGTGTTACATGGGGCATCGGGCATTTTTACCACATGATCATCTATTTCGGAAAGATAAGAAATCATTTAATGGTAAAGAGGAGCATAAAGCCATGCCTATTCCCTTATCGGGTGTAGACGTGCTCGAAAAACTACGTGAATTCAATAATGTCTTTGGAAAAGGCCAAAAGAAAAGGCCTCGGCATAATGACGGTCCGTGGAAGAAAAGATCTGTCACGACCCAAAATCCATAAAGGCCGTGATGGCGCCGGACATCACTGTCAGGCAAGCTAACAATATTTACTTAATTGGGTTCTCATTTTATTATTTTTGAAATCATATTTTCTTCAATTAAATAGTAAAGGACGGGGTTTACAAAATAAATGATAATATTTAAAAAAAATCCAATACAGTGCAACCCATAATCGCCCAAAACCCGGTGTCATGAGTGCATGAGTATTAACTAGGAATGTAAAATAGAAATACAACAACTGTCCGGAATACAATCTGGACAGAAAAAATGTAAATACTCTAAAGGAAACTTTGTTGGCTGCGGACTCGTAACGTGGAATGCAGCATACCTAAGTCCTCGCAATAACCGCGCCTCTGCTCCCACAAGGCCACTAGACATATATGCACCTGCACAAAAATGTGCAGCAAGTGTAGCATGAGTACGTATATCAACGCATACCCAGTATGTATCCCGCCTAACCTCGAAGAAGTAGTGACGAGGGGTCGACTTCGACACTTACTAAGGGCCAACAATATGATAATATAAAATTCTAATTAAGCATGATATATATAATAATGAAACTCAGAACAAGAAATAACTGAACAATTCATCGCCATATTTAAGAACCCAAATCACTTCCTTCATTTAAAACAAATAATCTTTCAAATAATGAATTTATACCAATTATAAAAGGGACTTCCAGTTCTATTATCACACACAAAATTTCACCGAGGACGTTCGGTCCGATCCAACATAAATATAAATTGTGCACTGCAGAGGGTCGAACTGCACGAACCATAGATGCATCTATTACCCCACTGGCGGATCATACATGCGATGCAGTCAAATATAAATTATCAATAAATCATAACTCTTTCTTGATTCTTTTCAAAATAAAGACAATTCAACTTGAAGCCTTCAAATCTTAAAAATTCTCAACTTAGTTTTATTTAATAACCCCGCTCGCGGATAATACTTGTGACACGGTCAAATATAAATTATCAATAAATCATTACTCTTTCTTCATTCTTTTCAAAATAAAGCCAATTCAACTTGAAGATTTTAAATCCTTAAAATCCTCGACTTAATTTCATTTGATACAATTAACAAATATAATCAAATAACGATGTCCACAAAGCATGGTGTAAACCTAAAACTACCCGGACATAAACAGAGATAGTAGCTACGTACGGACTCTCGTTACTTCGTGCGTACGTAGACCCCAAAAATAGCAACATATATTAATTAACTCCACCTATGGGGTAAATTTCCTCTTACAAGGTTAGAAAAAAGACTTACCTCGCTCCAAAGTTCCATCACCGGCTCTCAAGCCCTTACAATAACTCAAACCGATGCCCAACGCTCCAAAAACTAGTCAATAAATGTGCAAATCCATAAATATAAACTCTAATACTTATTATAATCCAATTTATAACAATCCTAACTCCGCTTGAAAAGTCGATAAAAATCACCCTCGGGCCCACGTGCCCGGATTTCGAAAGGTTTCGCAGATAAACCTTACCCATAGCACTACGAACTCAAATATATAATTTATTCTCAATTTCACGCCCAAGTTCGTGATCAAAATCCAAGAATACCAATTTCTAGATTTTTCTTCAAAATCTCAAATTTTTACAAATTTTCATGCTTGAATTCATGTAAAAACCATGTATTTAACTCAAAATGTGAAGAAATCACTTACCCCATTATAGTTAATGAAGGTGGCACTCCAAAGTGCTCCAAAATCGGCTCCCATGGACGAAATGAAGTAAAAATAAGCCAAAATCCCATTTTATAAAACCTCACTGCCCAGCGACTTTCGCACCTGCGGTGCTTTGGGCTGCATCTGCGGTCCCGCACCTACGGCAAATGCCTCGTAGGTGCGTTTTTTCCTTACCTGGCCAGGCTCCGCATCTGCGGACAAGGAGCATCGCTTCTGCGAGCCTAGACGCACCTGCGACCATGTCTCTCGCACCTGCGCTCACGCAGGTGCGCCCAGTCTTCCGCATCTGCGAATTCTGGGCTGCCCTCCATTTCTCGCTTTTGTGGCTCGTGGCTCGCACTTGCGAGCCCGCACCTGCGGCCCTTTTCACGCAGGTGCGATTGCACCAGGTATCAGCTGCCTCAGCATTTTTCTTAGTCCAAAAATCAATCCGTTAAGCATCCGAAACTCACCCGAGGCCCTCGGGACCCCGTCCAATCACACCAACCAGTCCAATAACATAACACGGACCTGCTCGAGGCCTCAAATCACATCAAACAACATCGAAATCATGAATCACCCTCCAATTCAAACTTAATGACTTTTGAAA